GGGGGGGGGGGGGGGGGAGCGGGTTTTCTCAGCGATGCAGGTGAAAGAAGCTCTCAAGACGACGACATCGTCAGTCAACTGTGGATTGGGGAGAATCTGCCGCTCATCCGAGAAAACAGCAGGTTGAAGTTCTGAGCGGCTCGGGTCTAACAGAAGCTGATACATATCCGGTTGGACTCAAATGCTTGAGCGTGAATAACCTGTCAAGAATGCATATTGAAGCTCTTTCCCGAGCATGTATTGTGAGGAGAAGCGCAAGGTTGCACAGAGCTGTCCGGAAAGACCATGCTTGATAAACAGGCAGTGTACCGCTAGCCTACAGCAGTGTCAGAGTTGACTTGAGTCTCAGGGATCAGTCCCTTGAACTTGGCAAGAGAAACGTTGAGAATTCGATCCCCGACATATGCCAAATATTGCGTTTTTTACATCAGATAAGCTGGGAAGTTTGGAGTGATGTAAGCAGGATACGCACGATCTATATATATCTATATCTGCATCAGGTTAACAGGGAACTGAGAAGAAAAGACTCACTCTTGTTCTACAATCGCAGCGCAAGGGAACACATGCAGGAGCGCAAACCGCAGATGAATGGCTTGGTCCTACGGAGGAAAAGGTAAATTAATGTCGCTTGACGCTTGAGAGAAGGTCTGAGCTGAAGTGGGGATCCAACTTCAGCTCAGGGAGCACGCAGAGCAGACAGTTCTGATGGTATGGGCATCATAGAGGTTTTACCTCTTGGCCATCCCACGTCCAATCCTCATGAGGTACGCCCTGTTCGTGCCAATAATCACACTCCTTAATCAAAGGTGGTCACACTCCCCGGAGATACGATGACACCGGGAACCGAGCACCTCATCCCCTTGTCTTTTTCAAGTTGAACGGGGCTAATCGCTAGGAACCTACATCACTCAGTCAGCGCTGACCGAACGGTTCGCCGACTCAGTGGTTTAAGGTCTGCTTCGCCTTCACAAACCCGAAAACAATAAATTGATTTTTCAAATAAAAATCACCCCATATATTGTGTAGTATTCGAGGTAGACCAACATGTAGAGCCGTTATATTTGCTTTCGCAAAAAAACGCCTCCTTATTTGACTATGGATTAGCCACACTGTCTACCTAGCCTGGAATTCCGCTGCAAACGAAGAAGAGATGACTTGAACCCGGTACAAAAACAAACCAACGTGAAGAGTCTTGTTCAAGGTTTGGAAAATAGCAGGAGACGTGCAGACGCAATGATTCATCCCTGTATTTATTGTTTCCGTCAGCATATTCCCTTGAAAGAGTGTCGGGGAACGCGCTGGTTGTTTCGAGTCGAAGGCCGACCCCCAAACGAGTCGAGAGGATCATTCGTTTTCGAGTCAATCTAAACGATTTTTTAGGCGATATTTCGGTTCACGTCTACTGTGCACGCGTTATACATGGCCACACCATGCGAGAACAATCGTGTTCGACTGATGTCGCGCACTCGGCACAAGTGCTGGGGATCTCTTCTCAACATGACTGTCACAAGCGGCACGCTTGCTGCTTTCTCGGCAGGCGTGCATGCAACACCTGAGTTACAGCAGTCCGACCACCGGGGTTCGACGGCATTTCAGGGCGTGCTCTATGGCATGTCAAGCAAGTAATAGGTCACATGGTAACCCTCACTCAAAGTCACCCGCAGACACTCACGAGAACGCCCGCGTCTCGAAGTGATTCTCGTCTCCAGTAGTTCTATTATCATACATGTATGCATGTATGCATTTGTGTAAGAATTTTCAGCCCACATCGAACGAGGAACGTGCTTAGGATCGTTCTGAGAACCAACTCCGATTTACAGGCGCGATGCATCGACAACGTGGGCACAGAAGTTCTACAGAAATAATCATCGTGAGAGCTGATGATGCGGCTTTGCTGTTCTGTTGTTCCACCCCGATACCACCACTCCGGCCGAACGTCATACCTACCCACATACGGCATCAGGATATTTTTGCCCTCTTTGTGTCGCTCTCACCTCGAGGCATAGAGGACAGCTCAGCGCCGCGGCTAAAGCGTCCACCCGGGCAAACTTTTCCCTCTCCATGGCGTGAACCCACGAAGCTTTGGGCTGATTTGATGGTGCCTGTGATAGCGCTGGATCGACGGAAGGGTGGACTGAGCAATGCGGAGGAACAGCTCTGCTCTCTTCATTGTCGCATTGTTGAGCACCTGGGACCCGGGGGAGGGTCGAGTATTTGCGTAACGTTGGTGATTTCGCGATTTCGCCGCAGTCCCCATATAAAATAATAAAAAAAAACATTTTGCGTTTTGCATCCCTCTCTCCGGCCCCGCCTCTCTCCTCTCGCCCTACTGCTTTATCATTCTATACAGTTGGCGCCCGCTGTTGATAAGAAACGCTTATTTCAGGTTCAGTTTCTTATTTCAAGTTTCTTATTTTTTCATGCAGCCAAATCCTGCTGAATTTCTCAAATCGGCCATTTATTTCTTATTATTTCTCTGCTTGCATAGAGGTAAGTATTTTTAGCTAAGCTAAATCTCCGTAGATCTTGACTCTAAAACTAAGTGATTTGAATGCTGCTCTCTCGTGCGCCGAGAGCACTTTTTCGACGGCTTCGAGCCTTTAGGGACGCTTTTCGCTCGGACTTTTTCGTCTGTCCGCAGCCCTGTGCGGTGCCGAATTTTCCCGCGCGCTCTGACCTCTACGCGAGGCCGAGCGGCAGCGTGCCACCGCTGTCTCACACGAGCTCAACGCTGTCTCCGCACGGCTCAACTTCATCGACCAATCAGGAATTCCAATCTTTTTTTGACTTACGTACAGTATAGGCCGTCAACTCAATCACCGAGGGTCCCTTCGGCAACATTCTGAGTGTACAGCAGAGTACGTTCGTGAGCACGTGCGTGTAAAATGAGTACGATATCGCAGCAGCATCGCTGGAGTTGAGATATGGTGTGTCGCAGGCGCACCGCTGTGGTTGAGATTAGGTATGTGTCTGCGTCCCTCAGCTTCTTTGCAAACAGCAGCGGTAATCCTTCAGCACGTGCAGGTCCCCTCTGTGAGCGTTCGCAAAATGCGGCGGAATTGCTGTATATTCGGCAGTTTCGCGCGCGCGAAAAAATGCAGCAGCGGTAATCCTTCAGCACGTGCAGGTCCCCTCTGTGAGCGTTCGCAAAATGCGGCGGAATTGCTGTATATTCGGCAGTTTCGCGCGCGCGAAAAAATGCGGCGGGATCCGAGTCGCAGCGAGGGGCTTCCGCTCAGCCGCTCCTCCGCCCCCCATCTGCCACACTTTCTTCCGAGCAACCTCTCTCTCCCGTTCTCAACTACTACTGTACACAATCTTCATGGACGCTATGCTCAAGTACTCCCCTCTCAAACGCAAGTCCAACGACGACGGCGGTGAAAGCGCTGGTGCTGCTGCGAGTTCTGCATCTAAGAAACCCGCGGTCGTAAAACAGAGGGGGAATCCGGATTGGCCTTGCATCGACTTTGACAACTGCCTGTACGGTCGCCTGAAAACGGTACCAAGGACC